GCCTCTCGCTGCGTAGAGCAGGGTGCACCTGTGCCTTGTGCTGCTTAGTGAAATGGGGATTTTTACCGCCACTATATTGGGAATTAGCCTGAGCGGTGGCCTGCTGACGCTCTTGCGCCTTAGGAAATTGTTTTTTCTCCCTATCCTCCTGGCTTTTTGCAAATGACGACGCAAAGGTGTACCTATCATGGTTCGCCTCGACCTCTTGAGCCAAGGCAAGTGCTGATGGCATGTCCTTGGGCTTCGCCGCGAAGAGGACGTCAGTGAGGCTGCGTTTTAACCCAGAGATAAATACGCGAAGGGCATCATCCCGGAATTTTTCGCATAAAACTTGTGCAGCGGAGGCTTCATATGTCATGGTCGCCTTGTTGGTGAGGAGGGTGAGCTTCCTTTCAACCTCATCATAATATTGTAGAAGCGAGAGACTCCCCTGTCTGAGGGTGCCCATCTCCTGCTCTATGACATGCATTGTCCGCTTGTCACTATAAGTAAAGTCGAGTCGATTTATAATCGCTTCGAAATTAAGCACTGTGCCAAATGAGGATAGCACTGCATCGGCCGTGCCCCTTATTTTGCTCCTAATTATAATAACTGCCTGATAATGGCGTGAACTTCCTACGAAATCTTTAAAAATATAGTATGCGCCTACTGCCGCCTGCCGCCAGGAGACGTATGTTTCCTGGGCACCCGAAAATTCGGGCAGGCATTTGACGGCGTCCAGTGGCTCATTACAAATGACGGCGTTATTAATGTCTATGGGTGCATAAACTTTAATCTGAGGAGTTACTGTTGGGGCGGGTGCGACCTGCATCGCCGCCACCTGGTTGGCTAGTTGCTGGATAGTCTGGCGCAATTCATTTTCCCTGCGCTGGCTGTCCTGTAGGGCATGGTTGACGGCAGCCTCTACTACCGCCTTTATTTGGTCTGGGTTAAATGGCATGTTTCTGTCTGAGGGAGTGCCGACGCTTACACTTTTCGGTGTAGAAGTTCTTGCCGGCCCTTCGGTCTCGGATTCAGAGTCACTGGGGACCTGCTTGCTGTTCCTATATTGTTGGAATGGGTTGCTCATATGGAGCTGTGCAAGCTAAATCGGCCCAGCGATTTAATGCATGCTCAAGCGGTCTTGCCCACGGATATGGCGAGGGGGCCGCGGGGGCTGAGATGCCGCTCGGTAACAATGGACGAGAGCTCGTTGGAAAACTGAGCTGTTGCCTTGCCAAGCAGTGACAAGGGGAAGGGGATCGCGGGGACTGGGTCTCCGCTATGGCAAACGAAAATATAAACAACAAAAATTGACACAGTAAAGATTCGTGGTGGCTAAGCTGCCGTTCTGAAAGACAAAGAAGCGAAGCTAAACAAAGTCGGAACACAAACGTCGCGGTGTCAAGTTCGAGTGTCGTAGTGGAGTGGGTAAGCGATGGAAACAAAAACAAACCCAAGACTGTTGCGAAGCTAACACAAAGAATTTCGGTGTAAGCAAAAAGACGACTACATATAAGGGGTAAATTAAATGCACAAATTTAAATGAGACAGTATCCGTCGCCAATAAAAGTATATCAATAAATGCACAATTAATAAATTTATTTCCCGGCGGCGCCTTTGCGTCCAGGCTGGGTATTAAATATTAAATATGTAAACATATGTAAATACATCAATTATGTAATCTGGTAGTTATATTGGCGATAATATTCGGCACCGAGATATTTATTGAAAGAATTTTAAAAAATGCAAACAATGAAAAACACAAATAATGTCACTTGTGATTACAGCAATAAAATTGTCAACCAATTAGTGAGTATGTTTATTTGACACAAATTTATAGAAGCGGAGCCGCAGAAAATATTCTGGCCGCGGTTTATTTCCATTTATCAAAAGTTACACAATGCAGATGAAGAAGGGTATGAATTGAATTGCTCACTTACATAATCCCTCCTATACCGCTGTGGGTACTTTTACGTTGAGCGCCAATTAAATAATTAATTAATCCGTGTGCCGGCTGGCCGTCCGTCTGTAGAGGGGGTGAAGCTGGCTGGCAGAACGTCTGTAGCAGGAGGTCGGTTGACCGTAGTTGTAGCTGGTAATATCAGCCGCTGTGTGTGTTGTAGTTGGCCGGTTGGCCTGCGTCATCAACAGTAAATATATGACGATTAGGTTGAGAGGGTAACTGCCCTCTTTTAGCCCGCTGGCCTAGAGACTCAGACTGGGTGTAATTTCAATAAATCAAATACGGCGATGGCCGGAGTTTCAATTCGTGAGCGTTAGCTCTTTATTCTTTCAAATCAAAATGAGAACTAAACTTAAAGCTAACATAAAAAGGGACTCATAGCGGCCACTCCAATGGGTAGTGCTTGCCGGCTATGCACGGGCTTCCGGCCAGACGCTGTGTCAGCAATTTGGCCGGAGCGAGCTTTCGGACGATCGGTCATTGCCGTCGCCCGGTTAACTTACTTAGTTAACTTATACATACATATGCATGTACATATATAGGCGGAATTTCAGAGTTGCATTCGAGCAGACCTCACTGTAATCTAATTATAGTCCACAGCGAATTAAAATCTCTTTTGGGGTCATGAATCACCCGTCAAAAATGGTGCCATATTCTTATCTATACCTATATGTACTTCAATTACATAAAGGAAGTTAGATCCCAGTTCCTACTTACAATTCGAACGCCGTTTACGTCGCTTATTCTCCTTGGTCCAAAAAGAGGCAAGGGAGTATGTACATTTGTATGTATCTATTTTCCAGGTTCTATTCCTAACCAGTAAACGGCTTTCAGCACAATTGCTCTGTTAGTTTGTTGTTTCCTTAGAGAGTTATTTTCCAGTGGTTTGGTTTCGACGAGATATGTTTTTGAGAAGAAATATCGCTTGACAAAGAAATCGTGCCTGGAGTGATTCACGAAAACGTTTGTCGTATATAAAAATACCGAATTGAATGTTAACCACATTAGGGATAGCGAATAGAGGTATTTCTTAAACTCGATCTCCACTATTTGGTAGTTTTGGTATTTTTATAAATAATTGAATAGGTAATAACCCTGCGCACACGTGCACTAGATGTTGCAACTTATGAGGATTCTTGCAACATAAAGAAATGGTGAAGCAAAAACATCTAATAAGTAAATATACTGAAACCAGGGTGGGCGTGCAAATTGATTTTACCTGGAAATAAAACTCATTTCAATGTTAGCATTTGAATGTTTTGAGCGGCCACTGATTTCTTGGTTTCTATTAGCAAATGAGTCATTGATGAGATTTCCACGCAGTGAAAATTGGTAGATGAAACGATTTCAAATTTATTCTTCATTTGATAAATAATGTATAATGCTTTAGTACAACGTCAAGAATGACATAAGCTGGAGGTTGGTCATTTCCTTAAAAAAACGCTAAGCATCTTTTTTCAATGACATAATTTCATTAGTTTCGAGCCAAAGGAATTGGTCATGCGCTAACAACAATTTTTTTAACGGCAAACTTGGGCCATTGCAGTGCAAATGCATTTCCATCTAAAACAAAACGTTAAGTAAAAAAAATGGCCATAACTCGTAAAAAATACTGAATTCAAATTTTTATATACTGAATCAATTCAGTATTAGTGTATGCCGTCCAAGTGGAGATGTAGCGACTCTTAACCCATCTCTTTTTAGCACGTGTATTTTTTATTAAAGAAAAATGCGCTGGTTTGAAATTTGGATACTGAAGCTGAAACCCACTCTTTGGAAACCGGAAATACCGCGTAGGTGTTTCTTTTGTGGCTGCGAGTTCTATCAGCTGCCCTCAGTTATAAAAATGCGTTTGTTACAGAAAACAATGGTTTTAACTAGCTAGGACGAAAAATGTTCTTCTCTTCATTGTGCAGGCCTGACAGCATTTTATTTCGATAGAGGCATTATCACACTATTGGCCGGTATCTCTAGTCCCTGGCAGCTATCTTTCGTAGCACAAAATCGGGTTTCTTCACTCCTTTATTTTATCTGAAGAAGAAGCAATGACAGAGTGCTTCTATCAAAAAAATTGAGCTGTAAAGCGCCAACAAAGAGCTTGCTTTGATTTTGCATCAGCTGTTAAGGTTTTTTTATGTTGGGCGGGTGGCTTGATCGATGAAAACAGGTGAAGCATAAGATCGAATGGTACCAAAAAACCACTGGAGTATTTGCGTTTTACGCGACGTGCGTAGGTGTTTATTAGTACACTTTGAAACATGAACTGCTTAAGCCTAACTTAACTTAAGCGCTCCAGAGCAGAGCGGAGACTTAGGAGAGAGATGGAGAGGGAGAGCGGACGGCAGTGCTAGCGCGCGAGATGTAGACATCTGGATAAAACTGCCGCTCGACACTGCCTCCTGAAATTAAACGCCCTTTTGACGTAAACAGTTTATGTTTGAGATATTGAGATATTGCATCTTAGTAGGCTTAGTGAAATCAGCTGTAGTTTTACCGAACCGAAAAATTCATAGCAAGTTTGAGTCCTTGTCAAGGTTAGCTCTCCTATTGACTATCTGTACGAGAATTGTTAGCCGGCACTCGAAAAATTTTACCTATGTCGGGTAACTTATTGAGTGAGTACTTCTTTGTCTACCTTCGATAATTCATCACTAGAGAATCTGACGTAGCCTTTGAGATGGCGACTCAGTCTGACACGAATATTAAAATGATTATTCATTTAGTCGGATAGCCGAGCCGAAATAGTTTGTTTGGCAGTGACAAACACATATGTTTTAGAAAAACCGCTAATATATGCTTTATGGCTACGTCAGAATCTATGGTAATGAATTACCGAAGTTAGACAAAGAAGTCTACCTATCGTTATTTTTTGTGCAACTTTAATTAATGCAGCGAAAAGCCCATTTTGCATTAAGTGGGTTATTGGCTCACATGATAGGTAACCCTCAAGGCTTTAAGACTTAAGCATTAAGTGGAGTCAACATATTCGCCAAATATCTACCAACTCGCAAGTATAGTATTTTTAGCAGAGCAGCCGCCGGGAAAGAGATGGAAAACATCGATGTTGGCGTGCCAAACATCGATTACCTATGCCTTGAAAACATCGATGTCTTCCACCTCTAAAGTAGGGTTGTCGTCGGGCCATCAGCAATCCAAATGAACTCCTACGGTTTGTAGACAGAAATAAAACCTGAATAAAACTGCTTTTCCACAAGAAATCACCAACACAAAAGAAGCGACAGCCACCGCCCGTGTCCAGAAACCTGGTTGGCTATTTTCCGAGCCTTAGGTTTCTTTTGTCACAGAGTTTTGTTATTTGCCCCTGCCTCAGTCATTGGCCGCGCGTCCCATACATATTGTTGTTGCATTAGCAGTGCATCTTATTATTATTATTTGTGTGTTATTGTTTATCGTGACTTTTCGTTTCCAATTCGATGGTGCACCAGAACACACAGCTCAGCCACATCCACATAGCACACTGAAAGAAAACCAAGAAACCCAACCCGAAACTGAATAGACGCAAGTACCGAACCAACGAGACCCTTTCCAAAGACAAGCCCAAAATGGCCAAAATGTACGGAAAGGGTAAGAGTAAGTACACGCCAATCCACACGCACTTTTGCATTGCAACCTAACACTTACTGACACCGCTTGGCTTGCCAAATCCTCAGAGAACTAGGTAGTGTGCTCATTCCTCCGGGGCTAATGCTCTCCATGTCTATTCCGTAGCTGCGATCGAGTCGGAGGAGCAGCAGAAGCGGCGCTGGCAGATCGAGCTGGAGTTCGTGCAGTGCCTGTCCAACCCCAACTATCTCAACTGTACGTATCACCTCAAGGAACCCTTGCACAACTCGAATCCTAGCAATAGGAGTATCCCCTGAGCTCCAAATCTCCTTAAGATTTCCCGTGTAAAATTATTTTGTTAATTTTAATAACTATTACGGTCGATTTCCCGTCCGCGTTTTAAACTAAAAGTAGGTCTTAAACCTGAACAATGTACGGAAATTTTGCATGCGATCAAGAAATCGGATCCGATCTTTTTAGAAGATTCTTGAGTTGACTCTAAACCTGCCTTACCCTCAGCACTGCCCCTACTCTCAAACAAACACCTAACCATTGAAATTCCCTTACCAGTCCTTGCCCAGCGTGGATTTTTCAAGGACCAGTCGTTTATCAACTACCTGAAGTATCTGCAGTACTGGAAGGAGCCGGATTATGCCAAATACCTCATGTACCCAATGTGCCTCTACTTCTCGACTTGCTTCAATACGAGCACTTCCGCCGCGAGATCGTTAATTCGCAGTGCTGCAAGTTCATAGACGACCAAGCCATTCTCCAGTGGCAACACTACACTCGCAAGCGGATCAAACTGATCGAGAACGTGACGGCCGCCCAGCAGCAACAACAGCAGCTGCAGCAGCAACAGCAGCAGGCAAACGGCGTGGAGGCTGCAACGGGAGGCGAAGCTGCGGCAGCTACGCCCAACGTGAACGGAGCAGCTGCAACAGCAGACTGCCAACAGACGGTCACTGCCCTGCCTGCACAGGCTCAGGCGGGAAATCCCCAGCAGCAGCAGCAACAAATTAATGGCCTTGCAACAGGGGCCAACATCAAACTAGAGTTAAACTAGCGCTGGCAACTAAAAGTTTACCAATAAAATAGTTTAAGAACCTTAATTAAAATACTTTTTATTCCAAGTACTAAGTTACATTTGGTATTTAGTACTTCTAGCAGAAAGAAGAAGCACTTTAGAGGCTATGATTTACTATATTTCTAATTTTCTCTAGCTATTTTGGCAACAAGTAAGAGTAATATTAGAGTTTGACTTAAAAAAAACCACACCCTGTCTGTTCGGCTAAGCTGTCGCCTTCTATTGATTGGTTTTTCTCAGTTTCAGATTTAAAGATAAATCATTAATCCATTTATTCATAAATTCACAGCCACCCAGGAAGCAGTTAGTGAGCAGGAGGAAACCGTCGCCCGCAAGGGCCACTTCTACGGCGTCTATTTGCTTTGCAGTCAGAGTTTGGATCCTCGATATAGAGGAAAGTGCTATGGGGCTTCACCGTGAACCCAAAACGCCGGATACGCCAGCAAATCTGGGGTGCGACTTTGGAGGCGCAAGAAAAACCAGCCGCAAGGGGCCCTGGCAAATGGTAATGATCGTTCACGGATTCCCGAATAATATTGTGGCACTACAGTTTGAGTGGGCTTGGCAACAGCCCTCGCTTTCCACTAGACTCAAAATGTACCCAGAGTTAAGACGGAAATTGCCCAGGGAGAACTACTTTGACTACAACTTCAGGATCCTTAGTAAGATGCTGGGAGTCGGCCCTTGGCATCGATTGCCCCTCACCGTTCGCTGGCTAGAGACGGATTATGAGAGGGCATTTGATGTGCCACTTCCTAGCCAAATGGAGATTGTAAGTGGTAAGGTTTCCATTAGTGCCTCACAACGTAAGAGAGCTGATGACGCTGAGGCTCCTCCACCTGTGGCTTGGGCTCCCGAGTGTCACCTATGTATACAGCAAATCGAGCAGCCGGAAAGATCCCGGCTTGGATGTACAAATCCGACCTGTCGGCTCACCTGCCACATGCTGTGCTTGGCCAATTATCTCCTGGGCGATGAGCCTGGTCACTATATCCCAATTGGAGGCGAGTGCCCGCTTTGCGAGACCCGCCTCAGTTGGGCAGCCCTACTGCAGCGCAAACGTCTCCTGTCGGGCGTGCCCGAGGAACTGCAGGACCAGGAAGACGATCTTAGCGATGAAATCGATGTGGACAGCGAGGTGGAATATGTGCCGGATTGATGTTGAACTACTTAAGTTTTCGTGAAGGACACTGAGTTTTACATCTCTGTGAATTTTCACCGTTTTCAATCAGTAAACCAAAATGTGCCTGTTTTGGCCATCGTTTCCGTATGTCTACAATAATTCTAGAGTTATTACTAATGTAGGAGAAAAATAAATTTCTTTAGTGATGAAGTACTTGTTAAATGTTATAGTGTACAAATATTATGACGAACCTCAAGTTTATCTGGCAAGTGAATTTCGCTTTATACATAGATACATTTTTTTGGTTTGCCGTTTCGTATATATATTGATTACGTCAAAGGTCCAGCTCGGAGACGTGTTCCTTGATAGCCCTTAAAGCGTTCTTGTAGTTTTCTAGTAGTTCGGCCATCTTCCGTTGCTCCTTCAAGTAATACTCCATAGACATTTGTACGTACTCCTGTCCCTTAAAAGTGAATACTGACACTTCGGAAGTATCAATAATCCCAGGCTCAACACTAACAGGTGCTTCAGTGGAACTGGGATCCGTTTTAGGCGTTTTCTTCACAGAACGGCCAATGGTTGATTGCGATTCCTTCGCGCGCTTGGCGGGGAAGCCTCGTGTCATCTAAGAAATTAAGCATGGTTAAAAATAACAACTAACTTTATTAACAACTTCTAAACCAATTTAAAATAGTTTAGACTAAAGTTTACTAGATCCTTTTCTAGTAAACTATGAACACATTGTACTTACGATCACTCTCAGGAGGGTTGGTCCTTGAGGTAGTGTCCACACTGTTGATGGTCACTTTATCATCGCTCAGGTTTATAAAGTAGCTCTCCTGGGAAGTTGAGGCCACCTGTTCAGGCTGATCCTCCGTATCGGGACCTTTTTCCCCGTACCGATACGGCACCGCCTCGCCCACAAGGAGCGTTCGGTTTTTGGAGGAGGATATGAACTTGGGGTCGAAGTGAGTGGAGCACAGATAGAGCTGGGTTTGAGGGATCTTCGGGTGCACTGTCCATTCTCGTGCCAGATTCGCGCCCTTTCAGGTTGTTTGGGAAAGGCGAACAGGGCTCTTCCCTTAGACTGAGTGTTGTCGTGCGTGGAATAATAATATTCGCAATTCTTGTACGCGCAAGACCTCGTACCCATTTTTAATAATATTATAATCTGGCGTCGTTATTAGTGATGGGCAAAAAGTGCCAAAACACTCCCTCGCGAAAGTATTACCGTATATTGGATTCAGTATTTATCGCATTAAGGTAATTCCAATTCTGTAGAATTGCTAAACCGATTAATTTGTATTTTAAAGCCTTTTTTCAATCTACCGAGTTAGTAAATAACCCGGGTACTCCAAAATAGCACTGCGTTCACTCCTTAACTCGAGTCCAAGGATAGGCACGGTCCCGGTTATAAATTATTATATAACTGGTCTTTTAAAATCAAAAGTGTTCTCCACCTAGGGACGAATTATTTCGTGATGAACTGTGTCAAACTAAATTAATAAAATAAATTAGATGTCCAAAAATTGCCCACCTCTATTCGAGAGTTATAGCCTGTTCAGGATGAGGGTATTTCTGCAGCATCAACCAAATGCGAGTGCCTTTGAGGATCATTCCAAAATTAAGTCAAACTTCCCTTGAAAAGTAAATCTTTTGACCAATTTACTTTACGGATTTGCATTAGTTTTCGGTACCGCTGTTTTAAGTTAGTGCTCCCTTTGCTTACATTAATTCGATTTTCCTTTTGCATTCATGTATATATAAGTATGTTAAAATTTTTATGTAAACTTATCAATTCTAAAACAATTAAATTTTATTAACAGTTTTTATGCTGGTCCCTCTTTTTTAAATAAAAAAATAAAAGTATATAAAATTATCAGAAATTGGATCGAATTGTTTGTATCATAAAAAATCCAATACATTTAATTTTTAGTTTGTAGTCTTAAGAAAGTACCATAAAGCAAGATCTTTCTAATTATACTAGGGAAGACATTAGAGATTTTTTTCCAAAAAGTGATCTTCCTGGCCCAATGTGCATTTATAAACTTCCATTGCGAAAAAGCAAAGTCAGGGAATCGAAACAATCTGGCAGGTCCGAGAAACCAGAACAAAGAAACGGTAAAAATGTGGTCTTCCTTTATTTATGTAATTAGTTTTCGGTTCCGAAATCATTATTTGTAAGCTATGTTTGTACGCGCCAAGAATGGAATAGATAGTATGACTATATCTGACTTCAATCTCGAGAGCAACGAGGGTGCCGACATGAAGTCCAAAAACAAAAAAATGGAGGGTTCCGTAGCCTGCGAAGGATTTATTGCCACTTATCATGAGTATTGCGAAAACACCTCCATCCACGGAGTCCAATATCTGGGCGAGCGGGAGCGACCCATGCGGGAGCGCATCTTCTGGCTGTTCGTATTCCTGATCTCAATATACGGGTGTTCAACGTTAATCCTCAGTGCCTACACCAAGTGGACCGAAACGGTGGGAACCTGTGGTTTAGTTAAAAACTCCTATGCCAATTAACAAGTTTATTTAAAGGGAAATTAATAATAACAAAAGAAAATCACACTTTTTCTAGTATATGTGCCTTTCTTAAATATAAACAAAGCTTGACCTCCATTAAATATTAAAGAATATTATTTCATTTTATAGCCCGTGATCGTAAGCTTCGCTGAGAAATCGACCCCCGTGTGGAACATCCCATTTCCAGCGGTTACTGTTTGTTCGGAGACCAAACGGGTGTTAAAGCAGAAAGGTTTGTTAATCTTGATTTTTTCAATTTTTAGTAATTTGTATTCAAAAATCTCGCTTTAAAGCAAGAAAATATATATAAAATCGTTTAATAAAGTACATTTTTCAAAATAGGTAAGGAGACCTCCTATGCGGATCTTTACAGCCAGTTCACCGAGGAAATGCGAGCTTCGCGAGTGTTTAAGCCCCAAAATGTTAGTGCCCTCGAGATGGAGGAGTTCCGAACCCTGCTGCACGTCTGCAACACGCAGATCATTGAGGAGGACATGCCCTTAATAGGCGGTGATGAGCTGGACTACTTTGATATCTTGGAAAGGATGCTGCCCCAGTTTGACCGGTATTTCTTCTACTGCCGCTGGCTGAGTCGCTTTGGCGAGTGCGAAAAATTCTTTCGGAAAACCCTTACGGAGGAGGGCATCTGCTTTACCTTCAATGGACTAAGGGCCACCGAGATATACCGGGAGGACACCTATCAGTACCAGCATTGCGGGGATGCCTTGGAAATGGAAAACACAAGCTCGAGCCATGCGCCCTGGACGCTGGAAACGGGCTATGCGCACCTTAGCGATGTGGAAACATTTCCAGCGAGGGTTTTGAGTGCCGGAGCGCGATCCGGCATTTTCCTGGCGCTCCAAAGTTTTAAGCAGGAAGTAGACTACGCCTGCCGCGGACCTGTTCAGGGTTTTAAGGTAGGTCATAGGGTGGTTTGCGATTCGAATTATAAATATAAATATGAATTCCATTCTAAATCCATAAATTTGTTGACTGTTTTGGTGTTGACTATTTTTTATGTCGACAAGTGTTATTCCAATGAACAAAAAAGCAGAAAGAAGAAGCACTTTAGAGGCTATGATTTACTATATTTCTAATTTTCTCTAGCTATTTTGGCAACAAGTAAGAGTAATATTAGAGTTTGACTTAAAAAAAACCACACCCTGTCTGTTCGGCTAAGCTGTCGCCTTCTATTGATTGGTTTTTCTCAGTTTCAGATTTAAAGATAAATCATTAATCCATTTATTCATAAATTCACAGCCACCCAGGAAGCAGTTAGTGAGCAGGAGGAAACCGTCGCCCGCAAAGGCCACTTCTACGGCGTCTATTTGCTTTGCAGTCAGAGTTTGGATCCTCGATATAGAGGAAAGTGCTATGTGGGCTTCACCGTGAACCCAAAACGCCGGATACGCCAGCACAATCTGGGGTGCGACTTTGGAGGCGCAAGAAAAACCAGCCGCAAGGGGCCCTGGCAAATGGTAATGATCGTTCACGGATTCCCGAATAATATTGTGGCACTACAGTTTGAGTGGGCTTGGCAACAGCCCTCGCTTTCCACTAGACTCAAAATGTACCCAGAGTTAAGACGGAAATTGCCCAGGGAGAACTACTTTGACTACAACTTCAGGATCCTTAGTAAGATGCTGGGAGTCGGCCCTTGGCATCGATTGCCCCTCACCGTTCGCTGGCTAGAGACGGATTATGAGAGGGCATTTGATGTGCCACTTCCTAGCCAAATGGAGATTGTAAGTGGTAAGGTTTCCATTAGTGCCTCACAACGTAAGAGAGCTGATGACGCTGAGGCTCCTCCACCTGTGGCTTGGGCTCCCGAGTGTCACCTATGTATACAGCAAATCGAGCAGCCGGAAAGATCCCGGCTTGGATGTACAAATCCGACCTGTCGGCTCACCTGCCACATGCTGTGCTTGGCCAATTATCTCCTGGGCGATGAGCCTGGTCACTATATCCCAATTGGAGGCGAGTGCCCGCTTTGCGAGACCCGCCTCAGTTGGGCAGCCCTACTGCAGCGCAAACGTCTCCTGTCGGGCGTGCCCGAGGAACTGCAGGACCAGGAAGACGATCTTAGCGATGAAATCGATGTGGACAGCGAGGTGGAATATGTGCCGGATTGATGTTGAACTACTTAAGTTTTCGTGAAGGACACTGAGTTTTACATCTCTGTGAATTTTCACCGTTTTCAATCAGTAAACCAAAATGTGCCTGTTTTGGCCATCGTTTCCGTATGTCTACAATAATTCTAGAGTTATTACTAATGTAGGAGAAAAATAAATTTCTTTAGTGATGAAGTACTTGTTAAATGTTATAGTGTACAAATATTATGACGAACCTCAAGTTTATCTGGCAAGTGAATTTCGCTTTATACATAGATACATTTTTTTGGTTTGCCGTTTCGTATATATATTGATTACGTCAAAGGTCCAGCTCGGAGACGTGTTCCTTGATAGCCCTTAAAGCGTTCTTGTAGTTTTCTAGTAGTTCGGCCATCTTCCGTTGCTCCTTCAAGTAATACTCCATAGACATTTGTACGTACTCCTGTCCCTTAAAAGTGAATACTGACACTTCGGAAGTATCAATAATCCCAGGCTCAACACTAACAGGTGCTTCAGTGGAACTGGGATCCGTTTTAGGCGTTTTCTTCACAGAACGGCCAATGGTTGATTGCGATTCCTTCGCGCGCTTGGCGGGGAAAGCCTCGTGTCATCTAAGAAATTAAGCATGGTTAAAAATAACAACTAACTTTATTAACAACTTCTAAACCAATTTAAAATAGTTTAGACTAAAGTTTACTAGATCCTTTTCTAGTAAACTATGAACACATTGTACTTACGATCACTCTCAGGAGGGTTGGTCCTTGAGGTAGTGTCCACACTGTTGATGGTCACTTTATCATCGCTCAGGTTTATAAAGTAGCTCTCCTGGGAAGTTGAGGCCACCTGTTCAGGCTGATCCTCCGTATCGGGACCTTTTTCCCCGTACCGATACGGCACCGCCTCGCCCACAAGGAGCGTTCGGTTTTTGGAGGAGGATATGAACTTGGGGTCGAAGTGAGTGGAGCACAGATAGAGCTGGGTTTGAGGGATCTTCGGGTGCACTGTCCATTCTCGTGCCAGATTCGCGCCCTTTCAGGTTGTTTGGGAAAGGCGAACAGGGCTCTTCCCTTAGACTGAGTGTTGTCGTGCGTGGAATAATAATATTCGCAATTCTTGTACGCGCAAGACCTCGTACCCATTTTTAATAATATTATAATCTGGCGTCGTTATTAGTGATGGGCAAAAAGTGCCAAAACACTCCCTCGCGAAAGTATTACCGTATATTGGATTCAGTATTTATCGCATTAAGGTAATTCCAATTCTGTAGAATTGCTAAACCGATTAATTTGTATTTTAAAGCCTTTTTTCAATCTACCGAGTTAGTAAATAACCCGGGTACTCCAAAATAGCACTGCGTTCACTCCTTAACTCGAGTCCAAGGATAGGCACGGTCCCGGTTATAAATTATTATATAACTGGTCTTTTAAAATCAAAAGTGTTCTCCACCTAGGGACGAATTATTTCGTGATGAACTGTGTCAAACTAAATTAATAAAATAAATTAGATGTCCAAAAATTGCCCACCTCTATTCGAGAGTTATAGCCTGTTCAGGATGAGGGTATTTCTGCAGCATCAACCAAATGCGAGTGCCTTTGAGGATCATTCCAAAATTAAGTCAAACTTCCCTTGAAAAGTAAATCTTTGACCAATTTACTTTACGGATTTGCATTAGTTTTCGGTACCGCTGTTTTAAGTTAGTGCTCCCTTTGCTTACATTAATTCGATTTTCCTTTTGCATTCATGTATATATAAGTATGTTAAAATTTTTATGTAAACTTATCAATTCTAAAACAATTAAATTTTATTAACAGTTTTTATGCTGGTCCCTCTTTTTTAAATAAAAAAATAAAAGTATATAAAATTATCAGAAATTGGATCGAATTGTTTGTATCATAAAAAATCCAATACATTTAATTTTTAGTTTGTAGTCTTAAGAAAGTACCATAAAGCAAGATCTTTCTAATTATACTAGGGAAGACATTAGAGATTTTTTCCAAAAAGTGATCTTCCTGGCCCAAGGTGCATTTATAAACTTCCATTGCGAAAAAGCAAAGTCAGGGAATCAAAACAATCTGGCAGGTCCGAGAAACCAGAACAAAGAAACGGTAAAAATGTGGTCTTCTTTATTTATGTAATTAGTTTTCGGTTCCGAAATCATTATTTGTAAGCTATGTTTGTACGCGCCAAGAATGGAATAGATAGTATGACTATATCTGACTTCAATCTCGAGAGCAACGAGGGTGCCGACATGAAGTCCAAAAACAAAAAATGGAGGGTTCCGTAGCCTGCGAAGGTTTATCGCCACTTATCATGAGTATTGCGAAAACACCTCCATCCACGGAGTCCAATATCTGGGCGAGCGGGAGCGACCCATGCGGGAGCGCATCTTCTGGCTGTTCGTATTCCTGATCTCAATATACGGGTGTTCAACGTTAATCCTCAGTGCCTACACCAAGTGGACCGAAACGGTGGGAACCTGTGGTTTAGTTAAAAACTCCTATGCCAATTAACAAGTTTATTTAAAGGGAAATTAATAATAACAAAAGAAAATCACACTTTTTCTAGTATATGTGCCTTTCTTAAATATAAACAAAGCTTGACCTCCATTAAATATTAAAGAATATTATTTCATTTTATAGCCCGTGATCGTAAGCTTCGCTGAGAAATCGACCCCCGTGTGGAACATCCCATTTCCAGCGGTTACTGTTTGTTCGGAGACCAAACGGGTGTTAAAGCAGAAAGGTTTGTTAATCTTGATTTTTTCAATTTTTAGTAATTTGTATTCAAAAATCTCGCTTTAAAGCAAGAAAATATATATAAAATCGTTTAATAAAGTACATTTTTCAAAATAGGTAAGGAGACCTCCTATGCGGATCTTTACAGCCAGTTCACCGAGGAAATGCGAGCTTCGCGAGTGTTTAAGCCCCAAAATGTTAGTGCCCTCGAGATGGAGGAGTTCCGAACCCTGCTGCACGTCTGCAACACGCAGATCATTGAGGAGGACATGCCCTTAATAGGCGGTGATGAGCTGGACTACTTTGATATCTTGGAAAGGATGCTGCCCCAGTTTGACCGGTATTTCTTCTACTGCCGCTGGCTGAGTCGCTTTGGCGAGTGCGAAAAATTCTTTCGGAAAACCTTACGGAGGAGGGCATCTGCTTTACTTTCAATGGACTAAGGGCCACCGAGATATACCGGGAGGACACCTATCAGTACCAGCATTGCGGGGATGCCTTGGAAATGGAAAACATAAGCTCGAGCCATGCGCCCTGGACGCTGGAAACGGGCTATGCGCACCTTAGCGATGTGGAAACATTTCCAGCGAGGGTTTTGAGTGCCGGAGCGCGATCCGGCATTTTCCTGGCGCTCCAAAGTTTCAAGCAGGAAGTAGACTACGCCTGCCGCGGACCTGTTCAGGGTTTTAAGGTAGGACATGGGTGGTTTGCGATTCGAATTATAAATATAAATATAATTCCATTCTAAATCCATAAGAGTTTGGTGTTGACTATTTTTTATGTCGACAAGTGTTATTCCAATCAACAAAAAATCACAAGGTAAAATGTGCCATCGCACCTGAACATAATAATTGTATACCAAGTTTACATACATTCAACTTAATAAAAACACAAACTGCCGGAGCATTATTCCTTTAAAGTGACCCAAATATTATAAGTTGTCTCTGAACAAAGCAATTTTTTTTTTTTACTTCTTTTTGTTGTAAAACGAAGACGGCTTGGACAAAATGTTTGTTTTAAATAAAATTTAAAAAACAATTGTTTCCACCGAAAAAGCGTTTTCGGAAAAAACAAGGTGTATTTTACGTATTTTTTGGAAAAATATAACAATGCTAATAAATTGTAACTTTCTTCCCCACCGGTCCCAATAGCTCTAGTTTTTAAAATATTATATTTAACATTATCACATTATATAATTCGTTATTATAAAAGCCGATTTTTTTCTCGCTTTGTCATTATGGTAATGATGATTACGATAAAAAAGTTAGAAATTTATTATACTAGCCAGAACTATTAACTGGCTAACTTTGATCTTGTTACCCAAAGTGTGGCCCCTGAAAAAAACTATTGTTACTCCATCGATTGAGAATTAGTACCAATTTTTAATCAGAAATATTTTTTATTTCTGTTAAACTCCTAAACATTTTAATGGAGAGTTATTGTATTTTAAAATGTATAAACAAGTCAAATAACAGTTTATTTCTATTTTTGTCCACCGAACAGGTGCTGCTCCATTCCCCCGATGATGTTCCGCAGGTGTCCAAGCAGTTCGTGCGGATTCCAATGGGCAAGGAGGTGCTGATCGCGGTGAAGCCTAGCATGATCACTATGTCTTCGGGTATCGCCGAGTACCATCCGATCCGGCGGCAGTGCTTCCTGAGCCACGAAAGATCGCTGCGCTTCTTCAAGGTTTACACGGAATCCAACTGCCAGCTGGAGTGCCTGGCCAACTACACACTGACCAAGTGTGGGTGTGTGAAGTTCTCCATGCCTAGGAACATGGATATGCCTGTGTGCGGTGAAGATAAGATCCACTGCTACGACAGGGCGGAAAGGCAACTGTTGGTCAGGAGTTTAAGCGGGTCAGAGCTCTGAATGCCGCTCGAGAGGATTGGCGAGGCGTGGAGTCCGCCTGTAACTGCATGCCCGCTTGCACGTCCCTCGTCTACAACACGGAGATCTCACAGGCCAATTTCGATCTGGAGGAAATGCTCCAGGCCGAGGGAGACACTGAATTCATGCAGGAGTATCCCGGCTCCCAGATGTCCCGTCTGTCCATATATTTTAAGCAAAGCCAGTTCATCACTTCTAAGCGCTCGGAGCTGTACGGCATGACCGAATTCCTCGCAAATTGTGGTGGTATCTTCGGTTTGTTTATGGGGTTCTCATTTTTAAGTATGGTGGAGATGATTTACCACTTCACCCTGCGGCTTTTCACAAATCTGAAGCGCATGGTCAAAGAACAGTAGAAGGTTCTTATAACTTATACCAGGTATTTTAGTAGCCAAATGCGTTTTTATTTACAAAAAAAATTGTTATCTTTAGCGGTTTAAATATTTAAATATTTATATTTGCTCTAATTTATGAAATCAAATATACCAATTAATAATATAACTTATTTCAGTTTTGTAAATGTGCATGCGTCTGCTAAATTTTATTTGTATTAGGCATACTTTGAAAAGTACATATATACTATATACAATTTAAAATCTGCTACGATAGTCCGATCGAATAAGTGATCAGTGTATCATTATGTTTTATTAATACTTAAGAGAATATTTTCTTAAGAAAAAATTGCGGTGAAAGTACAAAGACTGATTTCAAACACTTGCAGTTTACAATTGCGGTGAAAGTACAAAGATTGATTTCAAACACTTACAGTTTTAAAATTAATTATACCTACCGAATTCGTGCTTAATGCATTCCCGTAATTTTGTTTAATACTATAGATTCAAAGTTGTGGCTTAAAGTTTTCTTAAAAATTATTTCAACGGTTGATAGTTTTAAAAAATATTGAGATTGCGAAATATTTGAAGTAAGCCGCACATGAATTCTCGTTGGGAATCTTTTAGCAACAAAAACAATTTTGTAAGTGGGGTTTTTGGTTGGTCATCATCCCAAAACTTCATCCAAATCGGACCCATTTATTATAGTGATGATAAATTAAAGGTTTTTGCCTCCAGGTGGTGCCAGGTTTTCGGAAATCCGTAAACAGTCCGTTCTGTCCCCACATATGATTTTTTAAAAGCACCAAGTACAAAACAGGGTATTTCTGGTCTTTGATAATTCGTACTTAAAAGCTATATTTTGTTTTTGAGATCGGGATTTTCGGTGCTTGGCGAAATACTTGACACACGAAATAATGGATTATTTTTTGAGTGTATATTCTTTCGCCAATGTAATTTTGTAATTTTTTTAAAACCCTCTAACTTGGTAAAAAAGTTGGTTTACACAGGCCGCTGATACAAGCTTCCTATTTCAAGGGAAGTCCGCAAGAGATGTCCGATAAGACAACTCATACTCATATTTGAATTTAGATACTTTTCTAGCTGTTTGGATTGGAGCGCGAAGTTTCTGGCATCACTGGCTGGGACACTCGCTTGCGCGCCAAAAGCAATCGATCGTTATCGATAGCAGCAACCAGTGTTGCCAGCGGTGCTTCAGCGATATTCCAGCGTGCCTGG